ACATAAACAATTACAATATATATTTTTGAAAGCATTCTTACTTTACAGTATTTTTTCACACTTGCCTAAAACTTTTGCACAGTACTGTATATAAATCAGAGGGAATTTCAAGCAAAAGTGGCAGAAAGACTCAACAGTTTTATTATACCTTCTGAAAGCTGAAGTTTTAGGAATTGAAAGAGTAATAGATATGAAATGGTCAAGACTAGGAAATCAATCTTAATGGTATCTAATGCCTCTAAAGAAATTATTTATCCATTTTTAGGGGAGTATCTATTAAATGTGGAAAAAATACCAATGACATATATATTTTCAATGGAGAGTTTATTTTAATAGAAGAAGAAAAATACGATACACTTTTTGTGGCAAGACTCTTAAAGCTTTATGAAGATGGTAAGTTTTTTCTATGTCTCTTCCCTGTATAGCAATTTTCCAGTGATAATTAAGATAAATTTCTTTTGTTGAATATTTTTTAAAAGCGATTGGTGAAAAAGTAATATATGATACTAAGAAGCTAAACAACTTTTGAAAAATAAATGTTAAATATTCATGTTAGGACTATAGAACTGTAATAGCACAAAGGATCTGAACCACAATTAACATGGCACCATTATAATACTTTTATTAAATTGTACATACTGTAGTAAAAGGTTACAGAACTCATAAGAGCAGTGAATTAGTTTTTTTTTAATGTTTTATTATAGTTTAAAACAACACCATTAACTATTAACAGATTAGTTTAAAATTCTTAAAAATCTCAAGTAATTAACTAATACAAATATATATAAAAATATTCTATTGCCAAAATACATGGCTGATTTGTGACTTCCTGTTTAAATAATGCACTTTGAAATGATCATTCATCCACACCCATAAAACCCACATCATCATTGATGGCAGATATCTCTTAAATAGTTCTGAATTTTTAGCAAACTGAATAAAGTCTTTCCAAGTTGGATTAAATGGATTGTTATGCCTAATACCCTACATTTTATGTGTTGTATCCATGAGTTTTTTTATTTTTTATTTATTTGTTCATCATACTTATATAGCCACCCATCTCACAAGAGAGTGACCCTGGGCAGCATACAACACTCAGTTAAAAAGAACCAACAAGTACATATAAAACAATCTTTAAAACTATAAAAACTATGAAAAGCACACAAAACAGGAGAGGATGATGTTAACTGTAGTAAGGGAGCCATCGCAAAATCTCCCCGGTCCCCTGGGACCCTCAGGCCTGATCACATAGTCAGGACTTGAGGGACTTGCAGAATGTTAAGAGGGATGGGGCTAACCTCACTGCTGGGGGGAGAAGATTCCACAAAGCAGGTGCCACGGCAGAGAAAGCCCACCTCCTAGGACCCACCAAATGTAATTCCCTGACAGGCAGGACCCACAACATGTCTTCTTTGCCAGACCTGTTGGGATAGGGAGATGTAATTGGGGAGAGGCGATCCCTTAAATAACCTGGCCCCGTGCCATGAGGTACTTTAAAGGTCAAAACCAGCATCTTTAATTGGACCCAGAAGCAAACTGGCAACCAATGCAGCTTGCAGAGCAGAGGTGTAACATGTACCCTTCTAGGGGCACACATAACTGCCCACACCACTGCATTTTGCGCCAACTGAAGCTTCTGGATACTCTTCAAGGACATTTTGAAGTTTTGCCATTAAGTCTATTCATAATTGAAGTACCAAAGGTCTAGGTTTGAAATATAGTGGTACCTCTAGTTACGAACGCCCCTCCTTACGAATTTTTCAAGATATGACCAGCTCCGG